ATATTTTGGAAACTTCACAAGTCCAAAAAACTTAATGGTTTTCAGGAAACTTCCATTTGTTTCAGGAGAATTGAGATAACTTTAGGAAAGCTGGGAGAACATCAGGACACATCAAGTCATGAAAATTTCTGAACCTTTAAAGGAGAGAAACTCAGGGAATTTTCCAAAAACTTCAGTAAAGAGCCGAGAGGTTCATGAAAACTTTGTAAACTTCAAAACAGCCCCATTAACTTCAGGAAAAATGCAAGAACTTTCAAGGAGTTCCAAAGAATTAAGGAATATTCTGAAGTGCATTTCAGGAATGTTCTGAAAACTTCAGAGAAATTGTGGGGTTTCAGGGATGTTTTATCAATATCAAGAATATTGCTGAATCATTTGAGCATGTAAGGAACTTCAGGAAATGTTGTTAACATCGCCTAGAAATCTATTTCTTGCAGATTTTCCCCCAACTTCTCCTTGAAGTATCTTGAGCTCTCTGGCTTCCGGCTTTTTCCAGAAGTTTCTTCCTATCTACTTTAGGAAGTTTCTCCCAGTGCCTCCAAAAAGTTTCCTCCATCGTCTACAGGAAGTTCTCCCAGAAGTTTCTTTCGTCTTCTGAAAGTTTCTCCATAAATCTTCGACTTCTATTCGAAGGTTTTTCCGAGCTTCTTATGACTTCCCCTGGAATTGGCTTCCAATTTTCAAAACTTTTCTGGTTTCCTCTGGGTGTGTTATCTCATTTTTTCCGACAGTTTCTAAAGTTTTCGCCAGAAGTTTCTCAATATTTGTCTTGGAAGATCCTCATCGGATATTTTTCCAACATTTCTTAGAATGTCCTGCAAACTTCCACCACAAGATCTTCTTTATTCTTTCTCTGGAAGTTTTTCCGGTATCATTAAGAGACTAATTCAAATATTCCCGGAAATTTCTTCCGACTTACTACTTCGTTCTCAGTCCAAAAATTTAATTTTCGCCTACAAAAAAAAAACAAAAATATAAAATTAATTAAAATAGTGAATACCGATAAATACCGATTTTTCAAACATTTGATAACGATAAGCTTGAAAACAATCTAGCAACGCTGCCTGGAACTCCGCACCTCAGTATCGACGAGAAACACAAGCCATAAGACGGCTCTTAATACTGCTTGATCCAGAGTTGTTCGGCATGATTCTAGCTACCAAGCTGTGATGGCTTGAAATGATGTCAAAGTTTAGCCGGTTGTCGAACAGCTTTGCTTAGCTCCCTGACGGTGATTTCTGTCTGCTGCACCACTTTGTAGCTACTGACAAATACCACTATCTGCAGTTTCGCTCCTTGCATCCAGCTCCAATCGCTTAGATAGCCTCGACTGCCAGCATTTCCACTTCTTCTAGCGTCTCGCCTGTTACAGTCAAGGCAGCGCGCGTCGCACAGTGGGACGAAATTTAAAAAAAAACTACAAGGGACAACCATATGGGGTTGTTCGCAATAGTGACGTAGGACTACATGGTCTCATATAATAAATCTTATTTGTTAACTGCAGCAGAAGCTTGTATTTTGTGTAGGAATAGGAATTTGAGCGGGGTTCTCTTTATTAATACGCTTTAGTATGACGTGTTTGACATAGATGGCCCACAGAAACTCACGAAGAGCTACTGATTACGATCAATAGCGGTGTGGCTTCTTCCTCCTTTATGGATGCTTATCTGGGCGAGTGAATAAACACCGTCTGGTGAGACCGGATGGAATTAAACTTTGAAATCTGTGTTAGGGAAATCGCTTTTCGCAGCCAATCGATGATAATTTTAATTATCATAGCAACAGTTGCACATTCGTGCAAAAGTGACATTTAAAAAAAAAATGATAAAGCCTTAAATTTAACAGATGCGTAGAAATATGATCGATTGGTGATAAAATTATAATATTTGGTCCAGGGGCAGCTGAGTTATTAACATTGCAAATCTTTCATAATTTTGTTACATGTTTCATTTTCGGTTTTCACAAAGTGTACCCCCATATAGAAATCACAGACGTAGTCCTACGTCAAAAAAGTGGGACATGGCCATTTGCGACGAAACTATTGAGTGTAGCATTTTGATGTCTTCTAAAATGTTGCTTCATTTTTTTTAGTAATTTATTTAAGTGGTGAAAATTTTTGATTAAGGAGGATATACACTCAGATAAAAATAATAACTTTTTTATGTCTGGTTAAAATTGCTGAACATCCATGGAAACATTGCATAAAGCCTTTGACATAGTTTGGAAAACGTAGTGAAATATTCTATAAACCATAAAGTGACGAATGGCCAATTGGATTTGTTGACTATTTAATAAACCTATGTGGAATAATGCTTGCTCTAATAAAACTTTAATAAAACTCAAATGAAGCTGTAAGGCATTGAGAATGTTACTTAGGTTATACCATAGAGGTAACTCTAAGACTAGTAGGTCCCGAAGAAACGTGCTCAACTTTTTGGCTCAGCTCTGGTACTCTATTCGGTCCCAAGCTAATCGATTCACCCCTCGAAACGTTTGCTTGGGACCAATAGGCTACTCAAGTAGTGAGCCAATTTAAAATCGTTAGTTTCGTATTGATTGTTGGTTATACCGTACGGCGAGGCTGAGGAAGACAACGCTGAAGCAATACAAGTCTCCGATGAAGAACTTGTAACAGTGACGAAGGATTGAATGTGAAGAAAGCGCTCGGCCCGGATGGAATCCACAACGTGCCTTTAAAAGCGGTGATCTAGGCGTTCCCAGTCAGATGAAAGCTAGTATACCTGCCGAAGCCAGGAAAACCTCTGGGGGATCCAGCATCTTATAGGGCTACACAGCAAGCAATTTGGAATTTTAATTGTGATGCAAATATTCATTCTCGTGAACTTGTATTTAATTTTTCACAAACGAGCAACTTGTAAACTTGTATGCATTTCAGTTTTGAGTAGAGTGAAAAAGATAGAACCAAAACATTTCAGTACACTTGGTGAAAATACTTGTACAATCCAGTAGTAGCATAGAGCTAACTCTAAGACCAGAAGGTCCCGAAGAACCGTGCTCATTTTGTTGGCTCAGCTCTGGTACTATCTTCGGTCCCAAGCTAATCGATGCACCCCTCGAAACATAGGAAAATCCACGAACTTCTCATTTTATCTGTCAAACTTTCATAGCGAATCAAAACAAACATAGTGTAGTACTAGAATTTTGACTAGAATACGGTACGTTAATCGATTTGCTTGGGACCGATAGGCAAGTCCAGTGTGAGCCAATTTAAAATCGTTAGTTTCCACCGGCTGGTAGTAGTGTTGCCATGTGGTACACTGAAAAATTTCATTAGGCTTTTTTAATAGGAACTAAACGATCGATTCAGCCTCTGGTGGTGAATAGGAGAACGTCAACAAAGGTGTTGTGAGCGAGGGTGGCAACTCTATCTACGATGTAGATTTTTTTTTGTTTTGCTTTGGTTAGCTGCGCGCACGCTGAGTAAATAGAAAGAAGATTGTAATGATTCAGAAAATATCCTGCAAAAAGATGATGCGCGATGCAAGTAGATGCGAGAAATGAAAGAAATTTTTTCGAAGATTGATTCGCTAGTGTGAAATTTGATGAGCATTTAGGATTGAGATTTAGATGTGTCGCCCCCCTCGGTTGTGAGCAGAAATTTTTGCCTGATTAATCTGAGAATCTCCAAAACTTAATCTACAGTTGAAAAATATAATTCTGTAACGTTTTTGCAAAGATCCTGCTGATGTTCAGGAATATTTTTGTCGAGAAAAATGGAAAATTTGAAACTCGTACCCTCAAAGTTATTTTTCCACTTCGCAAATACCAAATTCAACGCGGTTTCCCGGTATCCCGATTGTTCTGGTTTCAATAAACTATTACTACTTAAATACTCCAACAGCTGGCCTTTCACAACAAGTTCTACAATTTTCTCTAATAATGTGTGCAAAATGCCGACGATACCACCCACCGCATATATGGATGGGTTACTGTACTCGATTAGTACCGAGCCAAAGTGCGCCCTCTCCCATCTTTCTATTTATGTATTATAATTTCCTTCTTTCTTGTAACTTTGATACTGCTTGGCGGACGATAGCTGCTGTTGATGACCGGACGCTGATTCGCATATATTGCGGTATATTTTATTATTATTTAGATTTATTTTTAAAAAGGGTCCATTTTTCTACCGATGTAAGATTGCATGTTTTATTGAGGTTTCAAAGTGTAAACCATGGTCTACAGAACGCTCATAAAACCAAAATTGTAACTTGGGTCTCGTTACTTTTGCGCTATTCAATAATATACAAACCTCTCACAAGTGTGGCGCTACTTTACTGCCCTGTGCGGCATGCCATTCACAGTAGCATTTTTGGAGAAAACTAGTTATAAATTGGAATCGATTGTCAAGTACCACTACCACTTTGTTCAGGAAATGTCGCGAAAAATACCAAAACTATGTTGCCCCATCCATAAGAGCCCATGGAAAAAAATCTTCGACAGCTTTTTCTCAGCTTGCTGTTTTTACGAATAGGACAACTATGCTGAAAAGGGCTACTAAATATAGCGACAGTAGGCGCTACCACCTCACTGTGCCTATATGTAGTTTGGTTGGACCCATAATAGTAGCTAGTCCAAGTACCTACCGTGTGCGTGCGAAGTGTGGCGAGTCGGGCGTATGAACGTTACCAAGCGTTACAAAGTGGTTCGCCCCCAGCACTACCCAACAGTGCAGTCAGTGGATTTGGCCGGTCGCCCGAGAGGTGGAAAACCATTGCAAATACGATTGCAAATTTTCCCGACCCCATCCTAGGTTGTAGTAGTGTAGTGCTGCTGATGAAAATGGTGTTGTTTGATCAAAATATTGTGCACTGAATGCGTGTAGTGGTGTACCTCCATATCGTGGTTCGTGTGAACTACCAATACCTACACGAAAAGTTCGTTTCACGCGTAAACGATAAATTACTGCGCATTGCGCGAATGTAAATCAACCGATTTCGGTCGTCTGCTGTGCGGTTTCTCTGTCGTGATGTTGGTGATTTCTTATAGTGGGAGCATGTTGCACACGGAGAAGAGCAAGACAAAACAGTCATCCTAGCTCGACGACGATGTGTGATGAAAACAAATAATTAGTTTCAGAACTATTCGCGGAGTATAGCGAAAGTCGCGTTGGTATAGCAAATACATTTCAGCACGGAGCTGTCAAAAGTGATCCAACAACATCTGGATCGTTTTCCGATTGGTGCAACTGTAAAGTGCAATATGGTCATTTGAAATTTGACAAACTGACTATCGAAGATTTGTGCCCAAAAGGTGTTGAAAGCGTGAGTTTCGTCAAAGCCAAATATGTGAAGCAAGCAAGTGAACTCGAAGACATCACGTTGGATTACCTTGGTCGGACGAAGAAAAAGAACGGAAAGCCATAAGGAAAAATGAAGTGATAAACAACGAAATAGGGTATAGAGTCGATAATTGAATGAACGGCTCCAGGCCATAGGCAGCTGGTTGTGAAAGCATGATGTAATCTACGGTCGGACCGGTCGATCGAACTGTCGGAACAGTACAATCATATTTGCTCGCAGTGCCATAAACAGTGCCACTTGGACATAATCTGCGATAATCTATTGCAGGGCTAAATTTAGTTTCTTATCAATGTACCATGTACGGACGATGATGGTATTCGTCATTCAGTAGTGTTGTCTTGCGGTGACGTTTGCTAAATCTTTTTCTGCTCATGAATGAAAACCGCTGTGGCGCATGCTCGACCTCTGGTTCGCTTTCTCCCATGGGTTTCCATACCACCGACCACCGAGCTACAGCGAGCATAGAACCAGCATATCAAAACAAAGCATGAGACCAATGAACAAGAAGGGGAGCTCCACAGGCAGTCAATCTCGCTATTTGCGCTCACCTTTCGGTTTCTCTGATATACCTACATAGTGTTTTTGAATGGTTTGTCCATTCGCACGCACGTGCGTCTATCATCTTACCTTTCCGGTGCCGATGGACACGCATACCTACATACATAGATTGCACGTGATGTCACCGCTAGCGAAATGGCTCTCCGTTGCTGCTGCTGCTACTGTCATGGTTCGTTTGATGTCGTTGTTGTGTCCACATGCCGAGGGGTAACTTAATCGGGATGTTGTGAGATTTGTTCTGTTGGCTCGGTTACTGTTATTCGCTCAGAAGGCGAATGTAAATTTACAACATACCGTATGCGTGATCATGTTTGCAACATTAAGCAATGTAAAAATTGAAAAAAATCTCAAAAATTTCGTTTTCGAGTTTTTTTTTATTTATTCAAAGGGGTCTTAAACTATGTTAATCTTCGATCGAGTTTCCACTTGCTGCAATTACGGCCTTCACACGCTTCCGGAATGCACGGCAGGTTCTAATAATGTAGTCTGGATCCATTTCTCTCCAGGTACGGGTCAATGTTTGTCTGAGGCTTGCTGTACTCGGGTGGCGTTTAGAACAGGTCTTGGCCTTCATGACGCGTCATATTGAGTAATCCAGCGGATTAAGATCGGGGCTGGATGGCGGCCACATATCCTTCGCCCAGAACGGAAGATGTTCCTGCAACCACTTCTGAGTGCGGTTCGAGGTGTGGCACGGAGCCCCATCTTGTTGAAATACAACATTTGGCTTCGGACCGTACTGTTCTTTGATCCACGGAAGAACATACTTACTTAAAATCCCGATGTAGACCTCCGTGTTGACCTTGTCGCCTTCTGGAATGAACACTGGGTCAATTTTTTGCCATCGGAAGCCACCAATCCAAACACCGTAATACTAGCAGGATGCTTGGTCAGATACAAGTTCTTGTGCTCGTCGGCCACGTCTTTTACCGGAAGAGAACTAATATTAAGGTCGGTTCTGGAATTTGATACGGGATCGACGGTAAACATGGTCTCGTCGGTGAACAGGTTTACCGGATTTTTTTCGCTTAAGGAAGTTCAAGATTTTCTTGCATCGTTCGACTAGTAGCTCCCGGAAGCGGTTGGTAATCATGTGAGTTTTTTCCCGTGCCCTTGATTTCGCCCCGCAATCTTCCTTTACGATCTTCACGCATACGGTAAGTTGGCTGCAAAAAGATTTCCATCACTTTATTTTTTAACACTCGCAAACCTGGTGACTAACAGCAAACATTTTTAAAAGAGAATGTGTAAATCATTAACATCGATGCTATGATCAAAATTTCTCTTCCATGGCATAATTGCAGCTCCCCCATTGACTATGGTCTCTTCAGGTCTCTTCAAAGTGTTCCAGATCAACTTCAACCTATCTCAATTTCCCGTATTTTTGCTGAAAAGTACCAACGAGTCAATTGCAATAGAAGATTTTTCACTGATGAATCCACTGGCAATCGCCTTCCGGAACCTTCAGAAACATTGTTCCGTTTATGTTGATGACCTGGCAGCAATCCACTTCGCATTGGGGATGATTTCCAACATGCCCATAGACCATTATTTCATCTTCTCGGATAGTTTCAGTTCTATTGAGGCCCTCCGGTCGACGAAACTAGAAAGGCACTCATCTTACTTCATTACAAAAACAACAGGGAGTAGTTGTGTGCGTTGGCAGAAAGATCATTTTTTAAACTCTTTATTTGTTCCAAATTCAATATAAATTACATTTCATTTTAACCTAGGCGCTCCAGTTACTACAGTAACTTACCAGCCTTGATTGTTATGATATATATCTAAGTGTTTTTACATTGGCAATTCAGTGTTTTTACATTGGCAACTTCCAAATCATCTTCAGAACTTTGTTCTGAATCCTATGAAGTGCTTTTTTCCTGGTAGTGCAACAAATAGACCATATTGGCACAGCATAAAGCACTTGTTTAAATATTAGAAGTTTATTCGCCAGGCAAAGTTTGGATTTCCTGTTTATAAGAGGATACACACATTTTATGTATTTGTTAGATTTGGCTTGAATACCCTCAATGTAATCTTTGAAAGTTAATTTTTGGTCAAGTACTAATCCAAGATATTTCACTTGACTTGACGAACAAATTGAAACTCCGTTTATAGTACTATGTTACTACTACTAGGTTTCAAAAAGGAAGCTTTAGGCTTATGTGGAAATATTATAAGTTGAGTTTTGGAAGCGTTGGAAGAAATCTTCCATTTGTGTAAATAACAAGAGAAAATATCAAAACTTTTCTGCAGTCTGCTGCAAATAACACGAAGACTTCTTCCTTTAGCGGAAATGCCTGTGTCATTAGCGAACAAGGATTTGTGGCTGCCCTGAGGCAAATCAAGGAGGTACGAAGTGAAAATGTTATACAATATAAGCCCAAGAATGCTACTCTGAGGATCTCCTGCTCTAACAGATAGTCGATCAGATTTGAAATTTGGATAATTTACCTGCAGAGTTCTGTCAGTTAAATAGTTTTGAACTAATTTCGTAATATACACCCCTATTCTGTATTTCGTTTCGAACGAAATTCTCATACAAAAAAATATGTTTTTGTATGAGAATTTCGTTCGAAACGAAATACAGAATAGGGGTGATAGAGCGGAAAATTAAACTTTTTCAATTTAGCAATCAAAACTTCATGCCAAACACTGTCGAATGCTTTTTATATGTCTAGAAGAGCAACTCCAGTTGAGTGGCTTTCAGATTTGTTTGAACGAATTAAATTGGTAACTCTTAAGAGTTGATGAGTAGTTGAATGCCCATGGCGAAATCCAAACTGCTCATCTGCAAAAATTGAGTTCGTATTGATGTGAAGCATCATTCTATTCAAAATTATCTTTTCAAAAAGTTCACTTATTGAAGAAAGCAAACTTACTGGACGGTAGCTAGAAGCTTCAGCTGGATTTTTATCCGGCTTCAAAATTGGAACAACTTTTGCATTTTTCCATTTATCAGGAAAGTATGCCAAATGGAAACATCTGTTAAATAATTTTACCAAAAAAGACATGGTACTCTCTCGGAGTTTTTTATGATGATATAAAAAATTCCATCATCACCTGGAGCTTTCTTATTATGAAACTTTCTTAGTTGTAGATCTTACTTCGTCCGAATCAGTCCCCCAGGAATCATCAAAAATATTTTCCTGGGAGGAAATATTCAGATAGTCCCGAGCAACCTGATTCTCAATAGGACTATTAAGACCCAAACTTAAATTATGGGAACTCTCGAATTGCTTAGCATGTTTCTGAGCTTTTTCCAAATTTGTAATCAAAGTTTTACTAACTTCTTTAAGCGCTGGAATAGGCTTTTGAGGTTTTTTTTTTGAAAATTTTTGTGAGTTTCCAAAAGAGTTTGGAACATCGGTCTAATTTAGAAACATTATTTTCAAAAGTTTTGTTCCTCAAGGCAGAGAATCGCCTTTTAATTTGTTTTTGCAAATCCCGCCAGATAACTTTCATTTCAGGATCGCGTGTTCTTTGATATTGTCTCCTACGGACATTTTTAAGACGGATCAAGAGCTGAAGATCGTCGTCAATTATAATTGAATCGAATTTAACCTTGCATTTTGGTACTGAGGCAGCTCTTGCTTCAACTATAGAAGTAGTCAGAGATTTAAGAGCATAATTAACATCATTTTTGTTTTGCAAAGTAATGTTTGGATCACAGCTATATTCCATAAATGTTCGATATTGCTCCCAATCAGCTCTATGGTAATTGAAAGTAGAGCTGTTGGGATTAGAAATTATTTCTTGGGATATTTCAAAGGTACTGGAAGGTGATCAGAACCGAGGTCAGCATGGGGATCCAATTGGCTACAAAGTTGACATGAATCAGTTAAGACCAAATCAATAGTTGAGGGGTTTCTTACTTAAGAAAAGCATGTTGGGCTGTTTGGATATTGAATAGTGTAATAACCTGCGGAACAATCATCAAACAGAATATTACCATTGGAATTGCTTTGAGCATTATTCCATGGGTGGTGTTTTGCATTAAAATCACCAATAATGAAGAATTTAGACCTATGACGGGTAAGTTTCTGAAGGTCACCCTTGAGAAAATTCTGTTGCTGGCCTACGCATTGGAATGGCAAATAGGCAGCTATAAACGTAAGTTGTTCAAATTTTGTTTCAACAGAAACTCCCAAAGTTTCAAAAATTTTGGTTTCAAATGTAGAAAGAATTTTATGTTTGATTCGTCTATGAACAATGATGGCAACGCCACCACAGGCTCCATCAAGACGATCGTTTCTATAAATGAAATAATTTGCGTCCCTTTTAACCTTATGGTCAGGTTTAAGGAACGTTTCAGTTATAACGACAATATGCACGTTGTGAACTTTCAAAATGTTAAATAGCTCGTCTTCATTATCTTTTTTACAGGTATTCCAATTTAAAAAAATTAATGATTTAAAATCCATTGCTGAATTTCATAGTCATGACAATATTGTTCGCAAATTTTACTCCAGTTTGAATAGCATCAAACATGGAGTTATTTAAATATTTTTTTTTTTCATTACTAAAGAGAATTTCAGCCTAAAGGCTGGTTCACCTCTGGATCAACAACATGGAGTTAGATTTATGCATATCAGTAATCATGTCAATTAATGATTTCTGCAGTAATGCTTCCTAATACCCCGTACGGATTATGGCTTATATCATGTAATATAGTATTTCTTGCAATGAGTACTAATACATAGGATTTCCAGTGAAAACTAGATTTATGAGTGCTCATTGCAAGACAGCCTATATTACATGATATAAGCCATAGTCTGTACGGGGCAGGGCTGGCAAATGTCATTTTTAATGAAAGATCTTACGCGATATATACAGAGATATTTCTGTCACTATCATCGGGTCACATGACGGTCGTGATATTTACCAGCTCTGGTACGGGGTATAAGTCAAAATTTTCAAAATTCCCGTTAGAATCCCGTTGGCTAGTATTTTGATTTCTACCCGTTGCAATAGCAGCATAGGTAGGTCCATTTAATCGCTGAACATTTTTAGCAGCTAGAGGAGTAGGTATAGATGAAGAATTTGAAGCAGGGTGATACCTGTACATGAACATGAAGCTTTTAGTGTGAGCTATTCCACAGCCGCAGACAGTAATGAGCATAGGCGGGCGCAGGATTTTTTTCTCAAAATACTTTAGGGTGATCAAATATCAGAGATTCTCCAGATGTCTCAGAAATTATTGCAAAACTTTCAGGTCTCCAATAACTTCTCGCAACGTTTTTGCAATACTCCAGGATATTCAAGGTTTATTCTGAAGATATATAACTATCCAAAAATTCAAATAACGTCTCTAAGAGATTTTCTCGAGATATCAGCTGTCTCAGAAATCATTGCAAAGACCTGCAGGTGCTCATAGGTCTCCAAACACATCTCTGAATATTTTTTCCAATACGTCCTGATTTGTCCCACGTCTTCCGTTCTGGGCGAAGGAAATGTGGCCGCCATCCAGCCCCGATGTTAATCCGCTAGATTACTCAATATGGCGCGTCATGAAGGCCAAGGCCTGTTGTAAACGCCACCCGAGTATAGGAAGCGTCAGACAAACATTGACCCGTACCTGGAGAGAAATTGATCCAGACTACATTATTAGAACCTGCCGTGCATTCAGGAAGCGTGTGGAGGCCGTAATTGCAGCAAGTGGAAACTCGATCGATGATTAACATAGTTTAAGACTCTGAGAAACATCCCCCCTTGGAATAAATAAAAAAACTCGAAAACGAAATTTTTGATTTTTTTTTTAAATTTGATATTGCAATGGTGCAAACATTATCACGCATACGGTAAGCTCTCTTGATATAATATTATATAACGTATTATCAACTATATTTAGTATGAACGTAGTATAATATCATGACGTCAGGGTAGGCTTGTAAGAATGCACGAGAAAGCTAATACTGTCTGCCACACCTTTTATTTTACTACACTTATGGATTGATTACGCGCTTAAATATTAATGCCGCGAATGGTTTTGGTTACCGTTCTCACCGGGAAAGGGTATTACTGTTGCGGCTTTTCAGAAACATATGGAAATTCTGGAAGTGAACCATATTGTTAATTTATAATATTTGGTGACTGCTTCTCACTCCAGTATGTCTGGGTTCAGGTAGGCTCTGGTGAATGAGATGTCTCATTGGTCTCTGATCACGTCATTTTTCGGAACTTCGGAAGGGAAGTAGCCGTTGGTCCCGACCCATGGTTCGATAATACTCCAGGTGTGGAAATCGCCTCCATAGAATTCGACTGCCGCCAATAGATGGCAATCGTTGTATGTCGGTGATTGGCACTCGATTGCAAAACAGAGACTGACGTTAAATAAAGGAATCAAGAATCGTCCCACCCTGTATGTTTTGACAGCAGAATCATCCGGGACCTTTTCTCGTGGTTCGAACTCGTTACCTGACACTGGATTATGTTGATGTAATCATCTTGTTCCAGGAAACATTCTTGAGTCAGAAACACCTTCTCCATCCGTGCTAAAATCACCGATGCAAACAAAATTTGCACACGCATAAATATGTAGGGATGAATATCAAACACCGCTTAAAATTGTACATTGCGCTTATCATGTTGCAGTTTCATTTTTGACAGTTTCAAATTTTAGAACTATCGAGCAGTTTGAAACAATTTTGTAACTCAGCATTGCAAACGGCCTAATGGATGTTAATTTGTGAATTTGTGAGCTTTATGTTATTAGTAACCACAAGTACGATATCAAGGAATATCTTTCCAACGCCTCAGGAAAAAAATGGTTAGAACCAGAACCTTGATAAAAAAAAAGTCATGCATCAAATCGAACTTCAAAGTATTCATATAACTTCTCGTTCCATAACTAAGTGTTCTTTAAAAAACGCTTCTACAGTGTTCAATCGAAATCTTTTTTCATTCAAATAAATCCTCGACTGAGTTAGGAATCGAACCCTCAAACACGGCTATCGAGAGCCCTTCTATGTCCGTTTCAATAAATGATTCGTACTTCAAAAGCCAACCATCATTCAATGCACGTTCAACGGAATAGCTTGAAGTCAAACACCCTCGGCACAGGTTTACGCAGAGCGCTTTGTTTTACCAACAAAACAAACTGGCCACGATAACAATCATCGACATGCCCCTCGTGCCACACCCGCACTTCAAGTCAATGTTGTCGTGAATCGTCAAAAATCAAAGCACGTCCGAGGTTCACCTGTCGTCCACTCTGTACAGTCACGTCTCGCACTGGACGGTTGCTTTGGTGCCTATTGTTATTCAACCTTGAAACACTTCCTATAGCTATTGATCCTGATGAACCAAGCGTCTCCATCGAGCAATTCAAGATCCATGGAAGCGCATGGTACTTCCCAGTAACATACACCGCACAAAACCACTCTTGACTGTGCTGCTGCAAATGAATCAACAGAGTGCGATATCGGCAGGTCAGTCAGCCAGCCAGCGAAGAAGACGATTGTGACCCACCCATCGCCGTCGCTGACCACCTTTCCACGTCTCTCACGAGACGACTAGGTTCGTCGTCATGTTGGGGTGTGATGCGCGCGTTCACTCACTCTCTGCCATCGTCGACGTCGTCATCATAGGCGTCGTCGTCGTCGTCGTCACTGTGTCTCTTCTCTATACCTCTCGCTGAGGCGTTACATTATATCCATTTCGCACTCCATACAGCGGCCATTACTCGGTTTTCCACACGTAGGTATCAGCAGCCTCTCAGACTGCTCAGTGTACCTACGCAGTTTCGTAGTGTTTGTCGACGTTCGATCGACCGACCAACCGAACGACCGACCGGCTGATGATTCTTAGAGCGCCGCCACGCTAGTTAGTATGAGTACGACAGTGAACCAACTTGGACGGACAGTGCGGGCGTCTGATCTAGCGAACGTCGCCGTGGTCATCGTGTGAAGTGGCTGGCTGCTATAGTTTTAAAGTGTATGGAAGAAGCTCGAGTGTGGGAAAAAATCAGCTGAGACGGTGGAGAGAGTGTGTGACGGAAGCATCTTTAATTTTAATTCGCAGGTGGTGGTCGTGGACGGATTTGCAGAAACTCCGCCGCACACGGTTTTGACAGTTACCCATCCCATTCATTGAACTGTCATCTTCCGGATGAGTGCGATGTGCGCGTGAAGTGAATTTCTAATGCGGTGTTTGTCGTCGGAAGGTACCTGCATATCGTACCAAGAACGAGGGAATGTGCCACTACTGCCGTGAATCAGTGTTTATTGATCTGTTGTGTGTCTAAATTGGCTAGCCGCCTTGCACGGCAGGCAATGTGAATCGAGTCGTAGAGTGATATAGCTATATGGCTACAAGAGCATGCTGAAGATCGTTGGCGCAATGGAAGGCCAAGGCGAATGTGTCACAAATTGAAGAAAGCTTACCAGATATAGTGCGTAAACAGAGGGAAAATTAGCATAAAGCTCAGTTGCCACATCGAAAAATCGCGACATAATAGAGGATTGCATTGCACCAACAAGCACTGTGAAGCGCGAGTGTGTTTGTGAGGCTGTGTGTGTATCGTCGTTGTTTATATTTTCACATCTCGCCGAGCAGCCGCGGAACTGCTCCAATGTTATTGTTGTGCATTGTGTAAGAGTTGCACAGACCAAGTTTATGGTTTTATTGCTGCTACTGTTGTTTTGTTGATGGCACCAACGACGGTAATGATGATGATGATGACGTTGATGATGGCGGCGACTGCAAACGAGGGATCGATATCAATTAAACGGCCGTTTGAATCAAGGTTAGTGTTTGCTGTTTTCCTCGTTTCTTTCCTGCCCTACTAGGGTAGGAAAGGGAGCCAATGTGTGTTTTTGTTTGATTTTATTTTCCAGCCGGTTTGCAGTATGTTTGTTTGGCATGATTTGTTTTTGAACACTATTTTCTGCTGGTGCCAGCAACGCTTGTTCAATGTGAAAATTCTTCGAGGTCGAAACACAATGTTTGATCATGAAATGTTGTATTGCGGTTGAATGTGGACTACATTTTTTAGGGTATCAACATGGAAAACGCTGTAAACAACATGTTACAATGCCAAGTTTTTTTTTCTCAGTATTAACAAAGTGTATGGTTCAAATTGATAGTATGTTATTGCTAACAAGCGAGAACCTGCCAGTTATACAAATATACATCAGTCCAAGGAATTGATACAGTTGTATTGACGGTTTCTTCTTGATTTCTTTATTTAACGTTGCCAATCACCGATAGACAACGATTGCCATCCATTGACGGCAGTCGAATTCCATGGAGGCGATTTCCATACCTGGAGTATTATCGAACCATGGGCCGGGACCAACGGCTACTTTCCGTCCGAAGTTCCGAAGAAAGACGTGATCAGAGACCAATGAGACATCTCATTTACCAGAGCCTACCACTGCTGGAATTGAACCCAGACACTCTGGGGCGAGAAGCAGTCACCAAATTTTATAAATTAACAATATGGTCCACTTCCCGAATTTCCATATGTTTCTGAAAAGCCGCAACAGCAGTACCCTTTCCCGGTGAGAAACGTAACCAAAACCATTCGTGTCATTAATATTTAAGCGTGTAATCAATCCATAAGTGTAGTAAAATGAAAGGTGTGGCAGACAGTATTAGCAACAATCAATACGAAACTAACGATTTTAAATTGGCTCACCACTTTAGTAGCCTATTGGTCCCAAGCAAACGATTAACGTACCCTATTCTAGTTGAAATTCTATTACTACACTATGTTTGTTTTGATTCGCTATGAAAGTTTGACAGATAACATCAGGGGTGTGTGGATTCATGCAGAACATGCAGGGGTGAGTGAAATAGCTTGGGACTGCTTGGGACCGTTGTTCTGGTACTGAGTGAGCCAAAAATAATAATGATTTTCTTGGGGACCCAGTGGTCTTAGAGTTACCTCTATGGTATTAGCTTTCTCCTGCATTCTTACAAGCCTATTCTGACGTCATGACATTATACTACGTTGATACTTTAGTTCATACCACTTAATATGATATTATATCATGAGAGCCTATATTACATGATATCAGCTATAGTATGTACGGGGTATAAAGGCGAACCAAACGAATGGCAGATTATAAAGGTTGAACACGAAAAAATCCAGACACGAATAGAGGTTTAAAAATGGTTTTTATTTTTCATAGTTCAATGTGAGGGGTGCGGCACATCTAAGTCTCAATTATAGATGTTTGAAAAATCTGATGCTAGCAAACCAATCCACAAAAATGTCTTTTTACATCTTTTGCATCTAAACCCATATACTCGCATCGCTCTCCACCTTTTTGCAGTAAATCTTCAAAATCATCATCAATCTAATAAGCGAGTGTGCATCTCACTAGATAAAAGCAAAATTTTTGCTTAATCTTAGATAGAGTTGTCCCCCTCGGTTCAATGTAACAGCTATACATTAGTAGGTATTATGCTTATTGTAAGACCATTGTTTCGGCCTTCCTTCTAACCATAGGCCATTGCTAGAACTTTTCTTCGTACACGGGCCATCATCTTTTGCATGAGCCTTGTATCCACTTGTTTGGTTGCCAAATTCTATTTCCGCTTGAAATCCTGCAGGTCAATGACAATTCCACCCTTTTTCTTCAGTATGTGCTTCATAATTTATCAGTATTCCTCAATTGGCCATAGTTCCGGAGTATTGGCCGGATTCATCACAGTGACGCCATTTTTGCTGTACCACTGTTTGGTGGAATTTAAGTAGTGGCAGCTTGCCAGGTCCGGCCAGAATAGGCAATTCACCTCCTGCTGCTGTAGAAAATACAGTGTGTAGTCTCTTCCGTAGCCACTCCTCCTGGTAAATTTGCTGGTTCATAGTCCCAGAAGTAAGGAAAGTTTCACTTTTCAACTCAAAACTGCACATTGCTTGCCAAATAAGGAACTTTTTGAGGAATTTCCAGATTTTCATCCTTTATCTGGCATCCACCTTTACATATCTTATTGGCAACTGAATAGTTATGAATCGTTAATCCAAATGTGGGAAATCGATTTACATAGATTTCTTCTCGAGCAACATGTCAAAAAGGCATACAAGCCAAACGTAAACAATGCATTTAAATGTCAATATGTGTTCACGAATTTAAACACGTCTACACAAATTAACTATATCATCTGATTCAGCAAACTTTCTCTCAGATGCTGGTATCGATTTACCAGGAATGAGGCTATATTCACGAGAAATCGACGTTTAAAGTAATTGCACAGACAAACAGACATAACACTCGCAAGTTATTCATCGAAGAAGCATTTAACGGTCAATTCAAAAGTATCGTAGTTGGTAGTACCGCCACCTGTGGCGCGCATAGTCATTTCCCTTGAGTTTGACGTTTACACACTACCGCCATCTGTTGAGCGTACTACCCACCACAGTGTACTCAACAGATGGCGGTAATGTTTTAGCGACGATGTTTTATAGTGAGAAATATTCAATGTGTTATGTCTGTTTGTCTGTGGTAATTGTTTACATTTGGTCCCTTTCACATGTTGCTCTAGTTACTAGCTTCTCCCATCATACGTCAAAACAAAAACCATAAAGTTGAGTGCAAAGAAGAAATGAGACTACTCTTGCTAAGTGACGGGTTGCGACATAATTTTGTTCAGGTATCCACTTCCCTAAGATTTAGTAAACCGGAACATGGCTAAGCTGAAATATTTGGAAGAAATAAATACTGAAAGGACCTTATTTTGTGCTGGAACATCCAGAAACTGCGAGAAACGATCGACACCATGCGTTAAAATAATCAGTGAATAAAACGATCCAGATAGTTTAGATGATTAGTTAACAGATAAATTGACAGAAGTTGGCGGTACACAGTCCATGAAAACAACTCTAAATTGATTATTATTTACTTTTTCTAGGCTTTTGTAGTGAGCATTTTGCCGGCTCTCAACTTTAAACAAACATCTAAGGAGCGATTCCAGACGAATTCGCAACTCCATTAATTTTAGTTTTTGTTTTATTTGGCTGAAAGTTTTCAGAAACGTTCATGACCAAAAACTTCATTTTGCATCTTCACATCATCATTTTGAATCGAGCCTTAATTTTAAAAAAGGGCCTGTAGACAAATGTTATGCTTATCTTCAGAAAACAGTTACTCGAAAAATGTTTGTCCAATCGGTTTGGTACCTGCTGCAATGTTGTTTGGAATATCTGGAATTATTTGAAAAAAATACACTCTAAAAAAATCTAAAAAATATTTTAATTTAAAACAAAAACTCGTTTTCTCGTTTTCTCAAAAACCGAATGTTTTATATAAAAAAAAGCGCTTACCAGCTCATCAATATGATTAGTGTCTTCCTTAATGTAAAAATAAAACATTGTGACCTTTTATCATGCACCAAATAGGTATTAACTTGGTGCTAAAATGCTAACATACTACCTATTGCTAAGAAATTCATGATTACCTACACCCTTAGAAATACCTAATTTTACACGTGACGGAATCCATCTTTGACATAAAGGATGAGACTTAAACATACATGTCATGTAAAATTAAGTGCTCCGAGACTGAAAAGTTCGTTGCTCGACGAAAAGTATGTTTGATTGAGCTGAATTTCGCGTCTATTTTGACTAAATTTTATGTCAAAATTGACGCTCGTATATGTCAGTCTCAGAGCACCTAAATTTACATGATTTTTTCTAAGTGTGTACATCCATATTTAAGTCAAGTCTGACACACAATCAACATTATAATATAATTCGCTGTGTATATGTGAAAGTGGCCGGCTTAAGTTCAGTAATTCAGAAGACGAGGTATTAGTTAAAATTAATACTTTTTATCATAAGTTCATAAACGTGTTTAGTAAACGTTGCTCGAAAAAGTGCTCAAGTCTCACGAAAGCCCAACTTGCACTTCAGTATTTAATTCTTTGAATCGGTTGTAGTACTCCCGTATAGTGGTCGTCATTAACCTTTTTTGAACAGACTGACGCTTACAATCTTTTCTTATTGTTACATAATCACGGTGCCAAGGCATTGCTCGATTTAAAATAGTGATCTAAAGATGCAAAATGGCATTTTTGGTCATGAAGAACGAAAATGTTAAGCCAAATAAAAAAAATATGAAAATTTATGGATTTGCAAATTGTATGTATGTATGTAAGGTAGCCACCATCCCTTCGAAGATTTTGTCTTATATGCAGCTCCACTTAATAGTAAGATCCATTTGAGCTACCGATCTGAATTCACAATATCGCTGTATGAAGGGTCAAAAACGGAGGTGCGGACCCGTAAGCAGAGACACTTACACGAAATCCACGGGAATTTAAGAATCTCCTTCCAACGATACGATCCAACAAATCGAATAACACAATTCGCAATACTTATTAAGCTTCCTACAGGATGGTTTGTAAAGAAGGGCGCGTCAATCTCACTGAAACTGTTGAAGTAGAATTCACACCACCACAATCGAATCGGTAGGATAAAGAAAATGATAGTGTTTATTCCCTCCTAGACTCCGGTTGTCATACCACTCCATCGCCCAGTTCCAGGTCAAATGATACCCTGATGCTCCCTCCTAACCCAGTATTTATTTATATAATGGAAATGTATGTAATGGAGAAATGAAATATGTCAGAACATTTAATATGAAATAATGAATATAAATTTATATAGATAAAATATTATAATAATTATTTTACATATAATAAGATGCAGCTCTATGTTTCCTCAGCTCACAATATCAAGTGGATGTAACACTGAAATTTCAAGGTTAGCAAATATATATTTTTATCTCTAATTACTAA